GAGGAGGAGGAGGAGGAGGAGGAGGAGGAGGAGGAGGAGGGAGGAGGAGGAGGAGGAGGAACTCGCAGCTTTTTCGGCCCTCGCGGCGGGCGGCGCGCGCGCGCGGGGCGGCGCCGCCGCGCGCTGGGCCTGGCGGCAGAGGGAAGGCTGTCCCGAAGCCTCCTGCCCTGCCTCGTGTGCCTCGGCGGCGTGCCGAGCGGCAACGCCTCCACTCCTCCTCCTCCTCTCTCCTCCTCCTCCTCCTCCTCCTCCTCCTCCTCATCCTCCTCCTCCTCCTCCTCCTCCTCCTCCTCCTCCTCCTCCTGTCTCCTCCTTCTACTCCTCCTGCTTCCCCAGATCTCTGACGAGATGCTTTTTGTTCCACCGGCGGTCTTTCCTCGATGTCAGCCCTCGGGGGCCGCTTTCGGGCCCCAGGACTGCTAAAAACTGCTTCGGGACGAACTGTGGTCAGGAACTTTGGCTTCGCGCGTCGTGCCGCCAGCTCTGGCCCGCCGCGCCTCGACGCGACACGCTGACCGCGTCCCCGTCCCCGGGCATCATGGCCCCGAGCCTTCCCCAGCCCCCCCGCCCCGCGAAGGGGAGCGGCACGCTGTCTGCTTGCGTGTAGCGGGGGCCGCCGACTCGACACGCTGAGCGAAAGTGCCCGACCGTACCCCACAGGGAGCGGGCCTGGCCCCCGAGTTCTGTCCGGCAGGCCTGCCGTCCCACCGGCCGGGGCGTGCGGAGGTCGTGGGCCGCCGCAGCCCCTGCGTGGATGGGGCGTGCTGGTGCGAGTGCTGTGCCCTCTGCGGGGCTGTCTGGTTGTGCGCCTTCTTGCCTGTCATCGACAAGGAAAAGATCTACTAAACTTTCGGAGCTCCGCTCGGACTTCTTGGAAACGCGCTGGCCCCTCCTGGCGGCGCCTGCGGCGTCGCCCAAGGCGCGCTCCGCGCGCCAGGGAGGGGGGCCCAGCGCAGATCCAAGAGATCCGCGCGGAGCTCCGCAAGTTTAGGTTCATGCCGTTTTGGGGACCCTCTGTCTTTTCCACGGCAGGCGCGCCAAAGAAGAAAGGTGCCAGCCAGCAGGTGCCCCGCAGAAACCTCGGACTCCCGGGCGTCCCTGGGCGCCACCTGGAGTTCTGCGAGGTCCAGGGTCGACTGGACTCGCGACAGACGAAAGGGGGGGATTGGGAAAGGGGGGGTACGAAATCTGCTGTGTGCAGCTGGTTTCGGCCCACCGAGGGGCCAATTCCTCGATACATAGCCGCCTCCTGCGTCGGGAGGCGCCGGGAAAATCACCTACGTGAGCTGATTCTCAACCCCCCCCTTTGCTATATGGATACTGTGCCCCTAGATCCCCTATGTAGCAAGATTCCTGAAGCTGTGCATCTGCAGTGGCTTCCCCGCCGTGGCTCGCCTCGGCCGTCCCCTCCAGGAAGACGCCGCTCCGGCTTGGGGCGCGATCCACAGGCGGGCGAGCGACTGCGATTTCAGGGGGACGAATACTGGTATGAACATGAGAACTCGGAGGTCCGCGCGGATTCCTCGGATCGGCGCTGGACCCCCCTCCCTGGCGCGCCGAGCGCGCCAGGGGCGGCGCCGGAGGCGCCGCCAAGGGGGCCCAGCGCGGATCCGAGAAATCCCTAGATTTGGGTCGCGCCCCGCGGCTCGCTGACCGGCAGCTGCGCGTTGTCACGTCCTCTTGATGCCGTGTACGGGCTGCACAGGACCGTGACGCTCAATGTGGTAGTGGATGACCGCTTCCTACATCGCATCGGAGGGCAACCCCGAATCACTACATTGATGATTCATGCTGCTAGGGCGTTGCGCAAAGAGCCGAGTAAGGTACACCTCACCATTCACATGTCCAAAACACGCGCACTATGCAACGTGGGGGAGGTTCGATACACTGTTGCACGCGAGCTTAAAACGATAGGGGCGCAGCCAATTCGACACGAACGCAACTTAGGCTTTGATTTCGCGCGTTGTCGCAGAATCGGACAGCACGTTCGAGGTGAACGGATGAGAGGAGCGAGACGACGAGTCAGGAGGGTTGGGATCAAAAGGTATGGTGTTCGTAAGCGTCTCGCTGCAAATAATGTTGCGCTTGCTGGCTAGGAAGCCAGCAGAAGCTATGTAATGAGTGTGACAGTTTGTCCTCCCACTGAGCTGAATCAAGCCAGGGGAGTTATGTTCGCTGTCTCTCTGCTGCTATGCAAAGACTCCAGATCTCATAACCAGGTTCACTTTGATGCCCGTGCTGATTCTGTGCCGTGCCATATGGGAGGGATGGCTGCTGGTTCCTGTGGTTCGAGACGGGTTGGCGGGAGCTCGGAGGATCCAACATTGGACGCAGGTTGTTGGCCCTTTCGGGGCTTGTGTGTTCACTCTGCAGAGAGTTGGGTGGCAAGTTGGGTTCCCCTTTGTTTGGATCATTACTCGGGGTGCGAGCCTTAATCTCAACGCGGCGAGCCCTTGGGTGGTCAATAAGAACTAGTCTCGCGCGGTGCGTGACTGGCAGTGGCGGCAGGTGGCCACGGATAACGTGCTGAGACATTTGGAGGACGGCGCTGTCTGGCAGCCTCTTGTGCAGCTTGCTACCACTAGTCGCCCTAGATCCGTCAAAAACCGAGAGCTGCAGCCTAGAGGCGAGGGGTTGTCTCATACTGGTCAATGTGAATGCGCGGTGGCCCACGCAACGGCAGTTTGAATCTAGCTTGGCGTATGCAGGCGCGTGCGAGGTCTGCGGCGGACCCTGCGCGTTGTTGTCTCGACATGCTGGATGCCCCTTGTCTGACGATATGCTCTGTTTGGACGCGTCTGGCACCTTGTATCAAGCCCAAGGTCGGACCCAGGTGCGATGCTTCGTGGAGCGGGCCTTGTGGCCTCACCCGCGGATTATCTGGCCCCTGTCCAGGACACGGTGGCTTGTCGTCAGCATTCGTGGCTCGGGATCCTCGCTTCCAGGGGGGCCTTTCTGGACGGCTCCGCGCTTGAAGCCTAGTGGGGCAAATATTGTACGCTCGCAGTCTGGGCCATCGTCACTCTTGAACCTCTCGGGCCCCTTGGGGTGCAGGTCGCAATGTATTGCTCATGCTTGGCACAGATGTTCGACATCGACGGTGCTGAGCTCGCTGCTCTAGTGTACATGTTACGCGTCGCGTTCCCGCCGATCACCGCGGCCACGGACTCCGAGACTGTTTCCTTGGGTGTCAGTGAGGGAGGTCCCAGCGGGACCACTTCCCACAGAGCTGCGTGGGCCTGTTTGTGGCGCGGGTTTTGGCGCTTCCTCGAGGACTTTGGGGGTCTTGGGGAGGCGGGCCTAAACACGCGCAAGTGCAGGGCGCATGACACGCTCGCACCTGTTCAGCAAGGCGTCATCCGCAGGTCAGGAAGGCTTTGGCAACTTTCATGCCGACCTCTGGGCCAAGGTTGCTGTCCGTGTCTCTCGGAAGCCCGCTCAGGAGCGAGATCCGTCGGCCAGTTCTGGGCAGTGTGCCGCTCACGTTGGGCGCAGGCTTGCGGTCGTGGGTGGGCATGTGAGCGCGCATAGCGCGGCGCGCGCGCGAGCAGGCGCAATCTTTTGGCGAGCGCCCAGCCTCAGCCGCAGGTAGTCTCTATCCTCAGCTTGGGCACGTGCTCGTCGGCCCTCTCGAACGCCGGACTGTGCTCCTGCTGCCGCCTCGTGGCCCCCGGTGCCCCGATGCGTCACGGTTCGCTCGCGAGTCGCGCGGTGGACGCCAATCGTCGATTCCGGGAGCAGGACGCAGTGCCCCACGGGCTGGTGAGTTTCGAGGTCGAGAGGGCCCTCCGAGAGGCCTCGCGCCATGGGGAGCCCCTGCGTGGAGTGCGGGGCCCAGGGTGCCATGCAGTGGAGCGGCTCCCTCCTCCCTTGCAAGGCCCCGGGGACCCATAGCAAGCAGGCCGTCAACAGGATTGACGAGGGTCTCTTCCCGGGGCTTTTGGAGGGTGGAAGCTTTGACCCGGCTGATTCTCCTGTCAAGTCTTGCTGCTGGGAGGAGGAGGAAGAGGAGGAGGAGGAGGAGGAGGAGGAGGAGGAGGAGGAGGAGGAGGAGGAGGAGCAGGAGGAGGTGAACGAGGAGAGGAGGAGGAGGAGGAGGAGGAGGAGGAGGAGGAGGAGGGAGGAGGAGGAGGAGAGGAGGAGGAGAGGAGGGGGCAGGAGGAGGAGGAGGAGGAGGAGGAGGAGGAGGAGGAGGAGGAGGAGGAGGAGGAGGAGGAGGAGGAGGAGGAGGAGGAGAGGAGGAGGAGGAGGAGGAGGAGGAGGAGGAGGAGGAGAGGAGGAGGAGGAGGATGAGGAGGAGGAGGAGGAGGAGGGAGGAGGAGGAGGAGGAGGAGGAGGAGGAGGAGGAGGAGGAGGAGGAGGAGGAGGAGGAGGAGGAGGAGGAGGAGGGAGGAGGAGGAGGAGGAGGAGGAGGAGGAAGGAGGAGGAGGAGGAGGAGGAGGAGGAGGAGGAAAGGAAAGGGAGGAGGAGGAGGAAGAGGAGGAGGAGGGAGAGGAGGAAAGAGGGGGAGGAGGAGGAGGAGGAGGAAGAGGAAAAGGAGGAGGATGAAGAGAGGAGGAGGAGGAGGAGGAGGAGGAGGAGGAGGAGGAGGAGGAGGAGGAGGAGGGAGGAGGAGGAGGAGGAGGAGGAGGAGGAGGGGAGAGGAGGTCCAGGAGGAGGAGGGAGGAGGAGGAGGAGGAGGAGGAGGAGGAGGGGAGGAGGAGGAGGAGGGGGAGGAGGAGGAGGAGGAGGAGGAGGAGGAGGATGGATGAGGACCTGGACATCCGGCGTTCGAATTTCTCGATGTGTGACTTCCGATGGTCTTGGCACGTTCCTTTGTTTTTGTTGACGTTCCCTGGGCCCGGTGAGGGCACGGTCCCTGGGCCCAGTGAGGGCGCCGGGGGGCCGATCATAGCCCCCAAAAACCCAGCCGCTCCGATTCTTCGGGGACTCGGATCTTGAGGGAGGGGGGCATGGAGGCAGGGGAGGGCGGGGAGATGGATGGCTCCCCCCCTTGCCAGGCTGCGGCCGCCTGTTGGCGCCGAGCCCGAGCCCTTCGGCCGCGGGGCGCTGCGCGCGGACTGCCGCGCGCCGCCATGCGAGCTGCCGGCGCGCTGCGTCCCGTGCCAGGCCTCCAGGGCGCTCCTGGGGTGCCCAGGGGCACTCTGTCGTGCAGGTCTAGGCCCACCAGGCGGGGTCGACGTAATGGAGGATGATGATTAAAAAATGACCGGGGGTCGTGTTCACGCGGCGGCGCCCAGGATGATGATTAGAAAAAACTGGCCCCGGGCTGGGAAACTATTTTTGGAATCGTCCTCCCCCCCCGCCGTCCTCGGGTGCGCGCCCCCCGCGGTGACGAAACACCGCACATGCGAGCCCTGCTTCTGAGCGTTCCCCCCCGGTGTGGGAAACTGTTTTTTTAATCGTTCCCCCCTCCTTTTTTTCTTAATGGTCATCCCACATTGGATGGGGTCGGGGGATCGCGCCGCATCGCCGATGCATCGGCGATGCGGCCTGATGTGGAGCCCGAATTTCGCCACGCCGACGGCGCCGATGCATCGCCGACGTCGCCGTTACATCGCCGATGCATTGGCGATGCATCGGCGATGCGGCGCGACTTCCGATCCCATCTACTCGGACCCCAGTTGGGAGGCCTCTAGTCGGAGGTTGGGTGGTGCGATCGAAGTGAAAACGAGACCTCCCACCGGGAAAGTGGTGTCGGTTTCGTGTTCGTGTCGTGCGTGCAGGCGAAGCGAAGTTGCGGGCGCAAGCGGGAGGAGTCAACCAGCGGATGCCTCGGCGAAACTGGGCCAAATGATGCTGTGCCCTTCCACCGGTTGGCCTGCGGTGGCCTGGGGGTGTCCCGATGGGGTCCCGATGGTGTCCCGATGGTGTCCCTATGGTGTCCGCATGGTGTCCCGATGGTTTTCACATGGTATCCTAATGGTGTCGCGATGCTGTCCCGATGGTTGTCCCCATGGTGCCCCGATGGTGCCCCGATGGTGTCCCGATGGAGTCCAGATGGTGTGCCTATGGTGTCCAGATGGTGTCCCGATGGTTGTCCCGATGATTGCCCCGTGAGATCGAGCGATCGATAATGCTATCGATAGATAGTGAGATCGATCGGTAGTGAGATCGATAGATAGAAGTGGGATCGGTTGTGATATCAAAAGCTGGACTGGTCGATAGTGTTACTGATACATCGGTAAAGTGACCGATGAGGTGAGATCAATCGTGAGATCGATGCACACACACAGAGACCGATAGTTAGCTAGTGCGGCCGACGCTGAGACCTATATATCGATCACCAGACCGATAGTGAGATCGATAAACAGATAGTGAGATCGATAGTGCGATCGATAGGGGGATCGATAGCGGAGTCAAATGTAATACCGATATTGAGACCGATAGTGAGATCGAACAACAGATAGTGACAGCGAAAAGTGAGATTGATAGTGAGATCAATCGCGAGACCTTCAGTAAGGCCGATAGTGAGTTCGATCGACACCGTGGACGGATGGACCACAATGGTGTCCCGATGGTGTTCCGATGGTGTCCCGATGGTGTCCCGATGGTGTCACGATAATGTCCCGATGGTGTCCCGATGGTGTCCCGACGGTGTCTTGATGGTGCCCCCATGGTGCCCCGATGGTGTCCACATGGTGTCCCGATTGTGCCTCGATGGTGTCCCGATGGTGCCCTGATGGTGCCCCGATAGTTCCACATGGTGTCTGCATGATGTCTCGATGGTGTCCCGATGGTGTTCCGATGGTGTCCCGATGGTGTGCTGGTGGTGTTCCGATGGTGTCCCGATGGTGTTCCGTTGCTGTCGCGATGGTGTCCACATGGTGTCCCGATGGTGTTCACATTGTGTCCCGATGGTGTCACGATAATGCCCCGATTGTGGCCCGATGGTGCTCCCATGGTGCCCCGATGCTGTCCCGATGGAGTCCCGATGGTGTGTCCATGGTGTCCCGATGGAGTCCCAATGGTGTCCCGATGGTTTTTGTCGGTGGTGTTCCAATGGTCTCCACGTGGTGTTCCGATGGAGTCCACGTGGTTCCCCGATGTTGTCCACACGGGGTCCCCATGGTGCCCAGATGGTGTTCCGATGGTGTCCCGATGTGTTTCTCGATGGTGCCCCGATGGTGTCCTGATGGTGCCCCGATGATGCTCCGATGATGTCCCAACCATGGCGTCCCGATGTATCCACATGGCGCCTCGATGGTGTTCCGATGGTGTCCAGATGCTGTGCCGACTCTGCCCCGGTGGTTGTCCCGATGTTTGTCCAGTGAGATCGACGGATCGTGAGACCGATCCATCGTGAGATCGATGGATCGATAGTGGGGGCGATTGTGAGATGGGTAGTGGGGCCGATTGCTAGGGAGACTTGCATATTGATATAGCGACCGGAGGTGAGATCAATCGTGAGATCGACGAACAGATTTTCATGGCGGTGTCCATGTGGTGTCCCGACGGTGTACACATGGGGTCCACATGGTCCCCCCCCACATGGCAAGTGGCCCCAATCGCCCAATGGGTTCAGTTGGTTCCCCCCAACCTCCTTCGCACCCGAAGAGTGATCGTATAGGTAGCCGAGGGAGGGGCTGCAGGCGAACCCAGGCCCCCTCGAGTCGTGACAAACATCACGACGGGAGGTTTTCTGCGATCTTCGTCCTACGGGGGCCCTTACTGGGCCATGGGGACCGTCAGGTTATCCCGGCGGCAGACCCGACCATACGCAAGTGTGAGTGCAGCAAGGCAGGTGGCTCCCCGTGGGGCCACGAAACTTGCGAGAGCTGTGCCGAAATGGGGGGGACGCATGCGACTCCTGACGCAAGAGCGTCTGGTGGAGCTCCCTATGGGGCCATGAAGCGTGTGAGGGCTGTGCCGGAATGTGCGGCGGGGACGTATGCGAACGTCGCCATTGGGGCTTTCGATGAAGCTCCGTATGGAGCCACGAAACGTGTGAGGGGTGTGCCGAAGTGTGCTGCGGGGACGCGTGCGAACGTCGCCACTGAAGTCTTCGGTGGGACCACGAAGCGTGTGAGGGGTGTGCCGACATGTCTGGCGGGGACGCATGCGACCGTCGCCACGGGGGCCTTCGGCGGAGCTCCCTACGGGGCCGCGAAGCGTGTATGGGATGTGTCGGCATGGACGCGCGGAGGCGCATGCTACAGTCGCCTCTGGGGCCTTCGGTGGAGCTCCCAATGGGCCACGAAGCGTTTGATGAGTGTGCCGACATGGGCGGCGGGGACGTACGCGACCGCCGCCAACGGGGGTTTACGTGGAGTTCCCTATGGGGGCCGTGCAGTGTGTGAGGGGTGTGCCGACATGCGCGGCGGGCACGCGTGCGAACGTCGCAATTGGGACTTTAGGTGGGAGCTTCCTGCGGGGCCACGAAACGTGTGAGGGGTGTACCGAGAAATGCGGCGGAGACATCTGCGAACGTCGCCACCAGGGCCTTCGGTGGAGCTCCCTATCGGACCACGAAGCGTGTGAGGGCTATGCCGAAATGCGCGGCGGGAACGCATGCGTATGTCGCCATTCGGGCCTTCGATGGAGCTCCCTACGGGGTGACGACATGGACGCGCGGAGGCAACGTCGCCACTGGAGCTTTCGGTGGAGCTCCGTATGGGGCCACGAAGCGTGTGAGAGCTGCGCCGACATGTGCGGCGGGGACGCATGCGACCGTCGCCATTGGGGCCTTGGGTGGAGCTCCCTATGGGGCCACGAAGCGTGTGAGAGCTGTGCCGACATGTGCGGCGGGGACGCATGCGACCGTCGCCATTGGGGTCTTCGGTGGAGCTACCTATGGGGCCACGAAGCGTGTGAGGGGTGTGTCGGCATGGACGCGCGCAGACGAATGCGAACGTCGCCATTAAGACCTTGGGCCTTGGCTGGAGCTCCCTACAGGGCCAAGAGGCGTGTGGGGGCTGTGCCGAGGTGTGCGGCGGGGACGCGTGCGACCGCCGCCACTGGGGCCTTTCGTGGAGCTCCCTATGGGGCCACGGAACTTGGGAGGGGTGTGCCGAACTGTGCGGCGTGGACGCATGCGAATGCTGCCACAAGAGCCTTGGGTGGAGCTCCTTATGGGTCCACGAAGCGTTTGAGGGTTGTGCCGAAATGCTCTGCGAGCACGCATGCGAACGTCTCCACTGGGCCATTCGGTGAAGCTTCCTGCGGGGCCATGGATCGCGTGAGCGGCGTGCCGAAATGGACGCGCGTATGGCAGAGGCAAGGATGGGAGGAGGGAGGGAGGGAGGGAGGGAGGGAGGAGGAGGAGGAGGAGGAGGAGGAGGAGGAGGAGGAGGAGGAGGAGGAGAGGACAGGACAGAAGGCGGACGCGGGACGCTGTTTCTTCATTACTCCGACGGTAGGACCCCACACGATAATCTATTTAGCTTGCCCCTCGCTCGTTTCCTTTTCGACTGGCGCAGGCCCTCCTCCCGCTTCTGCGTCCTCCTCATCATCATCATCGTCCTTCTCGCCTTGGTTCCTCAATGTTGAGGCCTGAGGAGCCCATACGTGACGAAAGTTACTGGCCCGCTCGGATTAGAACATGACGTGCGGGCCCCACACACAGGGGGGGGGCTCCCGCCTGAGACTCCCTCACGGTTCAGGCATGAGGAGCCCAAGAGTGAAGACAGTTACAGGATTTTGATGGCCCGCTCTGATTCGAACATGACGTGCGGGCCCCATAGGGAGGGGGCTCCCGCCTGAGACTTCCTTTCGATGCACTCACAGGCGAGGCTCCCGTCTGAGATGTCCTTCATGTTCAGGCCAGAGGAGCCCAAACGCGACGACCGTTACATGAGTTTGATGGCCGGCTCGGGTTGGAGCATGAAGTGCGGGCCATATAGGGAGGGAGCTCCCGCCTGAGACTTCCCCAATTGTGAAGCCTGAGGAGCCCAACATTGACGCCAGTTACAGGATGTGGATGACCCGCTCTGGTTAGAACATGACGTGCGGGCCCCAGAAGGGAAGGGGCCCCCGCCTGAGATTTCCTCCCGATTCAGGGCTGGGGAGCTCAAAACTGTGGACGGTTACATGATTGGTGACCCGCTCGGATTAGAACAGAAGTGCGGGCCCCATAGGGAGCAGGCTCCCGCCTGAGACTTCCTCCATAT